ACACAATATGGGAGAATCGCCGATGATTCCCCGACACCCATAAGATATTTGACATGCTAAATATCTGGAGCTGTCGATGATCCTAATCATGTTGTGTGAAATGTGTTCTGACTAAAAATAACATCAGCGATCACCTACAGCCAATGAGAGAGCAGCATTCACTAGTACAGGCACCTGCAGGCCAGCGGGAGGCTGGGGGAGAAGTTAAAAGCGCTTATTTTTAGTTTATTTGGACTCATATCATATTAAAATCGGAGTATTGGTGTCTTATGTACTTGTACTCAGAACGTTTGGTGAAGTCACGAGCTGTCAAAGACAGGGCATTACTCTGCCTTTCAGCATGAGCCCTCCAAGTTTAGCGTGTTTCCTCATTAAACACAACGAAAGCGTATGCTTCGCGTTGTTGTGTCAGAATCCTTGTGAAATACAATAATACTTTAGGACGCTTAGTTTAGGACGCTTAGCAAATTTGATGAACGTGATCATGCGTGTTGAATCTGAGGGGAGTCGCTCCAGTATGGAAGGCCGTTGGGGCCAAAACATCTGCAGCGCGTTGTGTGTGTCTGTCTGTGTGTGTGTCAGGCCCGTTGAGGGGTGTCAGGGGTGGAGTGAGCGACGTATCTGAGTAGGGGCGAGAGGGGTGTGCATTGTATTTAACGACCAGTTTGCAAGAAATTATCATTCATTTGCGAGCATTTGGGAGTCTCTGTGCACTTGCAGGATACTCCTAGTCTTAGCAACTGGATGAATGTAAAGGAGGATTAAGCAAAATTGTTTATATTCTATAATAAATGTTCTCAACTCACAGCAATAAAACTTTACAATGAGTGCAACAGTTTGTATTCTATAGTTGATTATTATAATTTTTTATTTTCCATATCTGCAATTCCTGTATTTTGGCATTTTTTTTGCAGTCCACTAAGAATCCAACATGGAAATCAATGTTTTCTTTATTGGCATTGATTGTTTTGAAATTTAAATGTCATTAACATGCCTGTGTTTTAATTTCTGTAATAAATATGGCTGTCAAGCAGGATCTTGATGGTTTATTGTGGGTATGTTGTTTACATGAAGAAATCTGTGTTACAAGTTAAACAAAAATTCTAATAAACAATAATATTTTGAATTTAAATATTTTTTGTCTGGCGTTTACATTAATTTTACATTTAAAAAGGCAAAATTACATGTTTCAGTATTTTAAATGCAAATAATCGCGATTAATCACGATAAATTTTTTTAAAAAGGTGCAATTAATTCATAATTTTTTAATCGATTGACAGCACTAATATATATATATATATATATATATATATATACATATATATTAAGTGACCTTGTGTTGTTCTCACGTTTGTTTGGTTGTGAGACGTAGTTTGGACAAAGTTGTCTGTGACTCTTCCTATTTTAAAGTCATGCAGTGTGAAAACATCTGTGACATGACTACTTTGAAAATCATGCAGTCTGAACTCAGCATTAGCTGACGCTTGATGATAAAGCGTGTTTGGCATGCTGTCCCGAGAGAGAGCAGGTAGGTCTCGAGATATTTCCTACTGTTTGAAGCTAATAACCAAATACGGATTGCTAGGAGTGTGTCTATGGTGCTGATTTGGATTAGTCAATTAAGTTAAGTTTTGAATGGTCGGAGGACACCCGAGGAAACCCACGTGGGCACGGGGTGAACGTGTAAACTCCACACAGAAACGTTAGCTGGCTTGGTAAAGACTAGAACCAGTGAAGGTCTTGCTGTGAGGCAACAGTGCTAACCACTGGGCTGCTGTGCTGCGCAACTAGGAAATAAGGAAGAGTAGGGGTGGATGGGAGGATTCTTCAAAATGAAGATGAATATGGTATGGAACTTAGGGTAATTATAGTGGCTTAGAAATCATCCGATTGGTGAATCATAAATTGGTTAATGCAGCACCAGCTGTGATCAATCATAAGCGCGTGATCCTCTCAACATTAGTTTAAAAATAAACCTCACGTAATCTTAATGCAAAAATAAATATAAAAGCAATGCAAATCTGAACAACTATTTTCACCCTTTTACAAATTTATGTAAATGTTAATTTACAATTCATTATGTAAATTAACAAACAAGACATGCAAATGAATGAATGTATAGATAAATAAACTTTAGAGTCAATACGATTTAATACTCACCTGGTGGTTGGTCAATGCTGTTCCTCCGCATCTTGTCTTGAGTTTAATTTGATCTACAATAACACATGTAGGGGATCAAGGAACATAAATACTGCTTTTTATGCAGTTGAATTCAAAATATTTGGTAACACTTTATTTTGATGGTCCATTTGAGTATTAGTAGACTGTCTGCTTAATATCTGTTGATATTTCTCCTTTAACAGACATTTAACTGACTATAAGAGACTTTGCAAGTACATTTCAATTTACACTAATCCCAACCTAACAGTCTACTTGTAATCTAAAGAGAATTAGTTGGCATACAGATGCAAAGAACTTGAATTCAACAAATGGACAATCAAAATAAAGTGTGACCAAATATTTTTCTGATTATATTGTCTGTTTCTGTTTCACTCTCCGCGAGCCAGCCAGCTTCTTTGTTCTTACTTTTTATCTTTTCATTCTTGTAGACATAAATAATTTAATTTATTAAAAATATTTTGTAACACTTACCGTTTAGCTTAATGTTAAACAATGTTCTTGTCGGTCAAGACAAAACTTCCTGCTTGTAATCTCTGGGGCTGTTTGCACCTGGTCACTTTAGGCAATTTTTCTGAATATATGTGGCAATCCGGTTGTGAAAAGGACAGGCATAAATCTCCGAAACTCATTCGAGAGGGATATAAATTTGATAACTTAAATTTCTCTAAGACGCATTCCAGACAAATCTATACTTGTCTAAATGCACCTGGTTGTTGAAACCACGTAAGTGAAATTTACTCCTCCCAAAATGTAAAAAAAATAATAAATAAATAAAACCCAACAAAGTGAAACAAAAACCACTAGGCTATATGCGGGAGCGTTAATGCAAAATGCAGCAAGGATCTTTGTTTAGTTTTATTTTTTGTTTCGTTCTATTTTTGACCAGTCATGAATTACTAAATAATAAAATTAAAATGTTAGATTAATACCAAATGGAAGCATTAGAGACGCATCATACACCTGTGTGTCTGTGTGAAAGTGGAACAATTACAGAATAATAGGCTACATAGGACTTCAATTATTTACAAAGGTGGAATGTTTTTTTTGGGATGGTTGGATAACCACAAAATTACATTAACCCTTTACAGGTTTGAAAAAAATATGTATCTTACATTTCTGTAGCAAAATTAATTATTTCATGAAACGTATTGTACACTGAAAAAATATTCAGTGAGGATTCCTTGGGTTTACTAAATTCTTTTTTTAAGTTAAGTGGTTGTAAACTATTTATTTGGGCTGAATTTAAACAAATAAATTAGGTTGAACATTACTAAATTTAAACTGTTGTTTAAATTCAACATAAATTGCTTGCAACAATTTTGCAGACTTCCTTTTTTCAGTGTATCTGCTGCTTTAGTAACCTAGATAAATTTGCACATAGCACAGGAATTGAAATTCGAAATCAGATCCTTTCAGTGGATACATGCATGTATGTGACCAAATGCAAATGGAATTGTCACAAATCAGTCAGTTATCCCCTCAGAGAAAGTTAATGAAATGACCATGTGTTAACAGGCCCTATAATCGTCCAATTGATCTTACAAGATTATTTTGAAGACAGCAGCAGAGCTATAAAAATAATAAAAATAATGCCATTAGGTTGGGTATTTACATGCATGCTTTGACTTCAGTTCAAAACATAATTTCATTTAAAGTCATAGTACTATACATTACATGTTATATTACGCAGGGGTCAAATGGTGCTTTTGTAAGTGTGGAACAAGAACATCTTGCCAAGTAGGTGAAAATGAAAAAACAGAATCTTTCTGAACGGAAGGTATTTGATTTTGTATTAAACAGCACCCTCGTGTGTGCATCACATCTGTGCCAGCCAGAGCAACAGTGTGACCTCAGGTTCACTGTTTATAATCCCAATTGGAAAAAATAATATAGTAACAATATTACTATACTTGAATTAATCTGTTGTGGTGTTTCTACAGTTGTCAGGGGTAACACAACAACTATAGTAAAACTGTAAAAATAAACAAATGACCCAATAGAGTACGGGAATGTGTCATAACAGCGGAGAAAATGTAATTTAATGCAGTGCGTCTTGTACAATTTGAGACCCACTTTACATCAGATATCACTCAGCCAGTGAAACAAAACAGATATAAAACATGACAATTTTGCAATGGCATCCCACAAAGCAAATGTTTTCTGGCCCAGCTTCAGGCCACACAATAACTTTTTCCATGGCCCAAGTATCGCAAAGAATGACGATCTTGAAGTGAACTGGATAAAAGACAAGAGCCACACATGGAAAATAACTGGCCTGAATCTCAGCCAATGTATCACCTTTAACTGGCCCTGAACTGGGCCAAAAGAGGTTTATTATTGGTACAGATTCTCAGCTATAAGTTTATACTTTAACCAGAAACCCCAAAAACTGAGCCATAACCCGGCATAATGTTCCCTAAACAATGTAAAAAATCGCTGCACTGATTTGGGCCACACACCTCCCATCCACAACTGGCCCATCACATGCATGCAGTGCCATCATTGCCATGCATGGCCCATATTTGGCTGACATTATGCGTGCCAGTGTCGACAACACACCACCAGTACCATAATGAAGCCACATTTGGACCAAGTCCTTTTGCTATGTGGGGTACAGTTCACACGAAGCCATTAACCCACATTACTGGCAAATTAAAAGTCCTTTTAGCATATTTCGGCATATACCCTATTCATGGAAAGGCAAAATTCATGGAAAAAGGTGTTCACAGCCTGGTAGAAAAACATAAATAAAAAAATAAAAAGATTTTGGTGTGCTAATATTACACTTCATGACGACTGTGAGGGGAGTTAAATTTTTATAACTCATCTTTTTCATGTATATTAAGGCTTAAAATTCTGCATAATTGTGGGTGTGGCCACTTGAGTGACAGCTAGGTCACTGCTGCTTGCCATCAGGACTTGAAATGCAGAGAGGAGTTAACCACAATGATGGTGTCCAGTGAAGAATGGTTCCAAAAGCAGCAAAAAAAAAAAAATATATATATATATATAGAATCCAAAAAATAAAATAAACAGGTAAACAACAGTGTTAGAATCTGATCAAATCTGAAAATGTGGTAAAAATCAGGTGAGGGCTTTTCAATTTCCGGATTGCTTTTATTTGGGTTTAGGGAAGGAGGAGGGTAAGTCGATCTGTCAGTCAGTCAGTCAGTCAGTCGATCGGTCAGTCAGCATGAGTTTATAGTTCACAAAGTTAAAATGCAAAAAAATAAACAGTAATTTAATGCCCTGCTACATTTGTTATTCGTAATTTCATATACACAAACCCTGTTGGTAATCTGGAGGATTTTGGCAAACACAGCAGCACGGCGATGTTTCTGAATGTGAACGAACTCCTGATAAAAGTCACCGTCCGCCATTCTTCAATTCTCGCACTGCTCTCCCGACAAAAATGCTTGCAGCACACACACAGCTTTGGTGTATGATCAGCCCTGACAAGATCGTGGGGAAAAAACATACAACAAACCCTGTGGATCATGGAAACAAACTCATACGAGCCTTCATGAACAGCTACTGCGTGCCGTGGGTCCGTGTCTCTCAGCTTGGTTGAAACTGGCAGGTCTGCCTTGCCTTCGGAAGCAGCTTGCTCTCATGAATAATTAAGCAGCCGGCTCTTCTCATAGGATAAGAAAACTCCGCTATGAATAATAATAAAAAACCGACGCGTCATCATTGCACTTGCAGTACTGCGCTACGTCGCCGATTTTGATCCCGCCCCAAAAATCATTTTAAACCCGAAAGCTGAAATCAGCAGACAAAAGCTCAAAATTATCCAGTTTTCCCCACAATTAAAGCTGACAGGTGCTAACATTGTCTTAACTGATGCTCAACACACACACATCTGTTAATATATCAAAACAAGTACTCCAGGGTGTCTTGAATCTTTAAGAGTTTTTAGATATTTGCACTATAAACAAGACAGAAGATCTAAAGAAAAGCTTTTTTTTTTTTTTTTGCAGAGTTTAGATTTACTAGAGCCATCTCTACTGGCAAGTGCGCACGAATATCACATTCGATTAATTTCCCTGCCCTCCAGCTAATGCTCTTCCTCTTCCTTCAACTACTGTTGAGAGTACTTCTAGGGTTGCTAATGCTTCAGCTCTTCCTCTTTCATCTCCTTCTCTTCCTGCTAATGCTAATGTTATCAATCCCAATGCTGCTGTTAATCCTGCTAGTATTCCTGCATTTGCTGCAATTGTTACTCCAACTATTGCTATTGATCCCACTCCCAATACTGTTGTTGCTATTCTCGCATAGTGTCTAGTTTTCTGACTAGCAGCATCCAATTCAATTTTCTCCTGGGCTTCTTCATACATCTCATTAGTGTAGTGCTGTCCTCCATTCTCCACCAGCATCTTCTCAATCTTCTCCATCAGTTCAGCGACCTGTGAGCGATCATTCATGTCTTTATTGTTGAATGAGTGATATCTGGCTCCACACTCATAAAGAAGATCCCAGAGATCACCACTTTGACTGATATACCCATATAGTAGCTGATCCTCCAGTGCATCAGCATGAGTGAACAGAATGACGGTGTATCGAGCAGCTTCTTCTCCAAAGTTCTCCTGAATCCATTTCACTGTGTTTTTCTCTTCTTCTGTGAATTTCACATCCAGTCTGATGACCAGCAGAAACACGTGAGGACCAGGAGCAGACATCTCTACACACTTCGTTATTTCCTCCTTCATTTCTGGTTCTGTCAGTGTTGAATCCAACAGTCCGGGGGTGTCGATGACGGAGATCTTCTTTCCATTAATCTCTGCTTCTCCTCTCTCACAGGTTTTAGTGACTGACACCACTGAAGCCTTACTCTTGAACTTCTTCTGGCCCAGGATGGTGTTTCCGGCTGAACTTTTTCCTGATCCGGTTTTACCCAGCAGAACAATGCTCAGATCTGATGAGAGGATTATTTTAAGTTAATGTCAAAAATATGAATAATTCAAACGTAAAAAAAAAAAAAACCAATTGAGAACACTCAAAGTCTGTACAGCTGAAAATTGATCACAATGCTGTGAACATCTTTGTCAAATATTTTCCAAATGATGTTGAACAGATTCAGGAATTTTTCACAGTATTTCCTATAATATTTTTTCTTCTGGAGAAAGTCTTATTTGTTTTATTTCGGCAAGAATAAAAGCAGTTATAATTTTTTTAAAACCCATTTTTAGGTCAATATTTTTAGCCCCCTTAAAATACATTAGTTTTGGATTGTCTCCAGAACAAACCACTGTGATACAATGACTTGCCTAATTACCTTAACCTGCCTAGTTAGTTAAGCCTTTAAATAGTTTAAAAACAAGAAAGAAAAGCCAGAGAGAAAATTATCTAAGGTTATTTACTGAAAGCCATTTTTATGACTTTTTTGCACCTTCAAAGAAATAATATAGGGATTATAAGACTATCTCAAAAGTGTTTAAATAAAATTTCATAATTTGTCTTTTGTGAGATATAGGAAAAAAAAACATAACTCAAATACATCCACACTTCCATTAAACAAAACATACTTTTTTAATAAGTTGCACATATTTACTATAAAACTCGGCTGTGTGTGTGTGACACTGAAATTGTTATTTTGACACGATGGTCCACCTCTTATAATTGTTCTTGTAGGACCTAGGGTTTAAGCTATGTTCCGAATGTAAACAGGATTGCGTTCAGAAATATCTGATATTGTGAATAAAGCCTGGTTTATACTTCTACGTCGAGTGATTAGCGTGACCCACTGCGTCTGCCTTGCACGTAGCCATGCATATATAATTCTACAAGTTGTTTGTGTTGCTCTGCAATAACACTTCAGAAACGACAGCGTGCAGTAGGTTATGGAATGTTCCTCTGTGTCAAGATTTTTCGCTGGTGTTTCGCTACCTTAATGTACAAGAAGCTCAAACTCGCTCATTTTGAGGCTGGAATCGGCGGACGTGCAACAACTTCAATGATGAGATAACCATAAAACAATAGTCTCCGTCTAGAACTCCTTCACGGGACTCCACACTACACGCACTGCTCTCACCCGCGCCCACACTCATTAGCTCTACCAAACTGACCAATCACAGAGCTTTTCCGTAGGCTGTGCCGGAGCATACAAGTGTGCTTGACGCAGAAGTATAAACCAGCCTTAAGACATGCAAACGAATAAATAGATAGATCAGGGGTCACCAATCTCGATCCTGGAGGCCCGGTGTCCATGAAGGGGTTTAGCTCCAACTTGACTCAACACACCTGCCCGGGTGTTTCAAATAGGTGTGTTTGTTTGATTTGTTTGTTGATTTGTTTGTTGGTGTGTTTAATTAGGGTTAAAGCTAAAACCTGCAGGACACCGGCGCTCCAGGAACAAGATTGGTGACCCCTGAGATAGATGAATAAATGACAGCATGAACGACTTATTACTTACGTGGTGGTTGGTCAATGTTGTTCTCCTGCATATTGTCTTGATTTCTACAGGATCAAATCAAAGGACAGAAATAGCAGCTTTTCTTTATGCAGTTTTAATATATGATATTATAATGCAGATCTCTGTTAATCTACGCTACTTTTTTTCTGTTTCACTCCTGATCTAGGCAAACCAGCCAGAGTCTTCCTGTTTCATTGAAAAGAAACACACAACATTTGTCTATTAATTATGGTAGACATGAGATAATTAATATAACGTTGGACTTGTGGTTTAGAAGACAGAAGTCCCAACATATAGTTAACTAAATAAAATAAAAATAGGCTACACGTTAACACACTTACCGTTTAGCTCACTGGTACCTACAGAAACACCCAAAACTTCCTGCTTATAATCTAAACTATCTGTTGTCTAACTTGTCTAACTGGATCATGTTAAAGAGAGTAGCATAACTTTAAAGTCACATGTCACTTGGGTGTTTAAATATATATGATAATACCTTACGTCACTTGGGTATTCATTCACTCATTCATTCATTCATTTTCCTTTCGGCTAAGTCCCTTTATTAATCTGGGGTTGCCACAGTGGAATGAATCGCCAACTTATCCATATGTTTTAAGCAGAGGATGCCCTTCCAGCTGCAACCTAACAATGGGAAACATCCATACACACTCATAAAACACATACATTAAGGAGCACCCGGAGGAAACTGGGTGCAAACTCCATACAGAAATGCCAACTTCTTGCAGTGAGGCGATCATGCTACCCACTCTGCCACCCTGACGCCCTACTTTGAGAGTCATTGGCTGCTAATATGATTTCCCTGTTTAGAATTTGCTAAATATACTTTTCCAAAATAATGTTATAAAGGAGAAAGTCTGGATGTGCAAATATAATACCAACTTTACAAAACTCACCTGGGGTGTGTTTCCCAAAACCATCATTAGACAACTAAGGTCGCAAGTTCCGTCATTACAAACATAGTTTGTTGATTTGTCGTTTCCCAAATCAATCGCTCTAATGAACATTCGCAAACTGCACCGCAAAGTTGAGCACTTTCAACCACACCTCTGGAACTGTAGTTAGAAACATAATTCCTGGCTGTGTTCTGTTCCCACTTATCCCCCCTATGCCCAATTCATTTAGAACATTCTAACATTCAAAGTTGAAATTATGAAAAATAAAAAAGCACTAAGGTCATCTCTCTTAGGTGTAATTTGCTTCCAAACTATTTTTGCAGTTCAGTTTTAGCGATCTTCATGTGTACAATTGTGCTTCCTTCGCAGTGCACTTTGAAGACATTGATGTCATTTTGAACACAGCCTCATGGCGAAAGCTATAGGTGACCTATTATTTTAAAGCGGAATTAATTTTATGTCTCTAAAGCTTGTGAAAACAAAAAACATAGCATATGGTAATTCTTTTAATTTATATTAAGTTATTTATTAAATATCTGTACTGTATATGACATGGGCCTGCTGGTTAGAACATTTCTGCAGTGGTTTACATGTGTCAAATTGTAAAAGTAGACTTTTCAAAAAAAAAAAAAATAAAACAATAAAAAAACAATATCCTACTTAATAATAATAATTATCATCATCATCATTATCATCCTCATCATTAATATTACTAGTAATATTATTAAAGTATGCTTTTTTTATTTCTAATAAATAATAATTATTAATTTCTCAATAAATTTCCTCATTATTTATTTATTTATTTATTTATATGTTTTATCTATGATATGAGAATAAATGTTAGCTTTTGTAAGTGATATGTTTTAGAATAGAATATGTATTGTTCAACTTCTCAATAATATTAGTAAAGCAAACACAGGCCTATGTGTTCCATTTACATATATTTCAATTAATATGGAAAACAAGTGAATGTTTTTACCAAAACTAATAATGGATTTTATTTTAAATGAGTGTGCTTGTAAAACAATATAATTTGCACAAAGAGATTATGGGTTTTTCTCTAAAGAAGTTGTTACTCCACCCTGTTTAGAGCATCATTATGGGTGTTTTACGTAATAAATAATTTGATTCAAGCGATAGATCTGCGACAGACAACGGGTTTTGGGAAACACTCGTCACCACATCGTTCTTTTCCCAACGATGCATCGTACTATGATAAATTAAGCCGCGAGTTACATTGTTGTTTGGGATTCTTTGGTGATTCTATAGTTGCTAAGGCAACAGTAACTATAGTAATATAAACAAACGGTACAATACTGTACTTTTCTACAATTATATGCAACAATATTCATTTACAGTGATATGAACAGAGATGTAAATACTATAATATTAAAAGTGTAACTGCAGTTTGGTTTAAATCACTAGTCTCTCACTACTCTTCTGCAGGTAAGGAAGCTCGAAACAGCAGAAGAGAGCTTTTAGTGTCAATCTGGTTTGCAAGATGATCAATCTTACCTGAATGTGGGGAAGGGGGTGATTAATGTTTTCGTTTTGAAAAAAGATTCCCCTGGGGCTGAAGATGCCTTGATGTCAAAAACAGCTTTCAGGTGTCCTGCAGCTATTATGTGTTTGACAGTAACCTCTTGAGATTGCTGGCTGCACTTGTGAGTTTATATATTTGTACGCTTTGTGATTACACACATGGTTTTGAAATTCAACAAGAAAACTTACAAATTCATTATATAAGTTAGTGAATTGACTCTTCATCTGTCTGGAAATCTTAACAGAGCATTGCATATAGAATTAAACTTCCATGCATTGAATTGCATTGTTAATGTAAAATGTACTTTCTGTAACATAAACGGTTCTGGCAACAGAGCTAAGGATCCACTATGCAGTGTCTTTATTCATTTGGGCACAGATAAACAATCCAAGTAGGAGAGAGCAGCAAGTTTAAAGGCAATCAAAAAGAGTAGATAGGGGTCAAACAACATCAAACAAGGCGTAGGTCAGAAAACACATCAAGGCAAGACCATGGAAAAGGCTTTGTAATGTTACAGGGAATAAAGAAGAAATTTAAGTGTATGTATGTGTATATCTGTGTGTATGTATGTGTGTATGTGTGTGTGCTGTTTTTATGGTCTATCTGATTAGTCCATCATAAACTTTCAGCAGTGTGTTTGTAATCAGAAGGGATCAGGAACTGGTGTGTGTGCACCTCACATTATGGGAGTTGTAGTTCAATATTCTGCACAGGCTAGATCGCTGGTGATCTAAAGAGTTAATTGCATAAAATGAACACTGCTTAGTGTGCACACAACAGGGAGTTGAATATAACCCTTTATTAGTTCACTGTCATACTGTTTGCACAGTTCCTATATATATATATATATAATTCTGTGTGGGTCTATATACTGTATAAGGAATCAACTAAAAACGAAAATGCTGATTTTCAGGAAAGTTTTTATTTAGAAACTCACAAGCAATGCTGAAAATGGAAGGATCAGAGCAAATACAAACCAAAATACTAATTAAAGAAGAAAGAGGAACTAAAATCTAACAAGTATTGAATATAAAAAAAATGAAATTATTTAATTCACCACTTTGTAGACATTATAACAAGCTGTTATTTGACTGAAGACAACACTCATAAACCCATAAACCATTTATTGCAGCAGAACAAATAAATGCATTATGCTTTATAATCAGTGTGCTTAAAACATTTGGCCTTTTACAGTATTTTTTTATTATTCATGTATTTATTTAATTATTATTTAGCTATTATTTAGACTATCTTTATCAATTTGCAAATCAAAACTCCCAAAACGTGTAATGAATATGGAAATTTTACTCACAGTTTTAAACACTGACAAAAGTTTCATCCAACAAACACTGACCCAAACAACATCGACACTCAGCACTACATGAGGATGTCTTGCGTATAATGTCTTAAAAAGCTGAGTTTGTGTTTAGTTTTATGCAATTGCATATATGCAATTGCATATATAAAGTCAGAATTATTCGCCCTCCTGAATTATTAGCCCCCCTCTTTCCCCCCCCTGTTTAAAGACGAAGTATGTAAGTTTGACACCCAGTGGTTGAACTAGGTATTGCATTCCTGGATCAATACACATTTTCACTCGGCTCCTTCTCGAAGTCCACGCAATTGCAGGTTGCCAGATTAACGTGCGTGCTATCAATGTGAGAGTTTGAATGGCATTTTACATGACATTTATTGCCATACTACTGAAAGCAGCAGCAGCAGATAAATAAAGTAAAATAAACAGTTTGAAACTGAACTTTAGAACTGAGACTCAGTGCCAACAAATATCAATTATTATACAAGAGTTCGTTTTAATCAAGCTGAGACCATCTCATTCAGTCGATCTCGGAGCAATTGTTTTGGCGCGGATCCGATTGCGATTGCTGGTTTCACATATGCCAAACGAACCGCGCTAACTGGGCAAACGAGACAGGTCCTGAAACAAAAGTCTAGCTGTGAAAGCACCCTAATATGCTGTTTTCCATGAAGGCACCCCGGTGTGCTGAAATATAATTGGCTAAACTGGCATTGGGTGGGTTAAAAGAACCAAAACAAAGCACAGCACGTAACACACATTTTCAAAGCATAATACTTGACTTGGACAGCATTGTATTTTTTGCACAGAATTTTCCAAGATACTAGTATTCAGCTTAAAGTGACATTTAATAGCTTAACTAGGTTAATTAGGCAAGTCAATGTCTAACATTAGTTTATAACATTTGAGAAAGGAAAAACAATTCACAGGAAAGCAAATCATTTTGACCTTAACTTCATGTGAATATATATATATATATTTATTATATATATATTTATATATATATATATATATATATATATATATATATATATATATATATATATATATATATATATATATATATACATATATATATATATATATATACATATATATATATATATATATAT